CTGGGTTCGAGCCCTGGCTCTGTCACTTCATAACTGTGGAACCTTGGAGAAGTTATTGAACTGGTCTGTTAGGTAAGCATTCAACAAATATCAGTTATTATTATTATTTATCTTTATAATTCCCAATACATCAAAATCAACGTTAAAAAAATAGATCCCAGATTAAGGTAAGGTTTCACCTCTGCCACTAATCGTGTGATACCACATGGGGAACTTAAGTTCCTGGGTCTCAAATTTGTCATATGTAAGGTGGGGAAGGTGGACTCTGATCTCTCAAGGTCCCTCCCATCTCTGACTTCACCAAGCCCACATCCAGGGGAGATGTTTTGAGGAATGACTGCCACATAAAAGCAGCCTAGCATAATCTTTGGCAAAGTGACTTTCTGTTAAACAAATTCTCTATTCTCACATCTTTTCATAGAAACCTACATCAATTAAAGGTTCTAAACTTTTTTGGTGAGGAAGGCAATGGAACTGTGGTTAATGTCATGGATTTCTGGAATGTGTGGTCCTATAGGCACAGAAGTGGAAAGAAAGATAGGTAACTGAATGTTCTGCTTCTGATGATATATTACAGCTCCAAGAAACTCAAATACTTGTGTCTTTCCTTCACATATTTCCATGTTTTATGATTTAGGCTTCAGCAGCAACCACTCCATTCATTTTAACTATCTTTCCTGCCACTGGTTATTGTCAGAGCAGAACAAACCCTTGTTGATTGAACCTGAAGAGATCAAAATGGGAAAAAACAAACAAACCAACCTTCTAGCAATAGTCTCAAGGGACTTGGGAATGAAGTAAAAACAGACCAGCCAATGTACAGTAGTTGATATCATCATGTCCACAGTTCTTATTCAGGTTGGGCTGGCTTGTGGCTCTTTAAACAGTCCAAATATTTTCTCCTGGGAGAAAATCCCAATAGCACTAAACCTCTGAGTTTCTCATGGACTGAAACTTAAATATCTGCTTTAGTCTTTGGCACCTGGAAGAAATGTTTACTCATAGCAGCATGGAAGCCCATTGTTTCTGCTTCTTTTGACCAAAGCTGGTGCCTTCAGGGTGATTTACAGGTAGGTTGGAAATGTAAAAATATACTTACAAATGCACAGTAAAAATAGAAGGGTCCACTACGTCCTTTTCTCTTCCTCACTTCTTAACCCATTGCAATCTGGCTTCTACTCCTACCAATCCCCATTGACAAGGCCACCAGTGATTTTCCTCTTAAGTCCAATGGATAACTCTCAGTCCTCATCCTACTTGACCTTGGGGAAGCATCCGATACTGGGAAAGCTCTTTTCCTCTGGTTTCTGGGACAATATGAAAGTGCAAGTTTCACAAGGGCAGGGACTATGTCTGTCTTATTCACTGAGGCATTTCTTATAATGCTTGGCAAAATGCTTGCCCATAATAGATGCTCAATAAGTATTCGAATGAATGATCCAGACTTTCCTGGTTTATCACCTCTTTGGCTGATCCTTTGAGGACTCTCTTCCTTTACCCCTGCCCCTCAAATGATAACATTCTTCTGGGCTGGTTCCAGACTTGCTTCTCTTCCACTCTTCCTGGGTCACATCATCTACTTCCCTGACCATTCTTTCAAAGACGATGCCAAAGTCCTTTCACCAAGCAGAGATTCCCTCTACAGCCTCTCATATCTATTGGACATTTCTGTTTTGATGCTGCACTGACACTTCAAATGCTTCTGCTACTCCATTCTCTCACTTAGCAAGTGGAACCAACATGTATGCAACTGTCCAAATCAGAAACTTGGGAGTCATTCTTTATCCGCCTCCCTCCCTGCCACAACACACACACACTCACCATTCACCTTCCACATTCAACCTCCAAATGCTGTTGATTCTTCTTCCTAAACCTCTCTTTATCTACTTCCACCATCCCAGCTCAGGCCACCATCTTAGCTGAATTACTTATGCAGCTTCCCCAGTAGGCTAGGCTTACTTTTGCCACCTCATCTCACCACTCCCTCTAGCTAAAACACCAAGTGTCCACCCTGGGCTCTTGTACATGCTACTGTTCCTCCCTTTATCATCTGGATAACTTCTACTCTGCTTCTAGCCATAAGGTCTTCACTGGCTAATTTTTACCAGAAGTAGATCTCCAGGTCCTTCTTTACAGTCCGCTTTAGTCTGGAAGTTCTGCTGAAATCCGCCCACCATGGGTGACCCTGCTGGTATTTGAAATACCAATGGCATAGCTTCCAGCATCACAGCAATACACAAGCCACCACAGTATGACAAACTAACAGATGAGTAATGGTCTTGTCTTGTCTTGCTTACTTTGCCTTTTTAAAGAATTTTTATTGTGCATTAGGTGAAAGTTTACAAAGCAAATTAGTTTGGTTTCATTCCCCACAATGTGTCAGCACTCTCCCATTTCCATCCTAGGTTCCCCGTTTCCTTTCATCCTGGTTTTCTATTCCTTCCTCCCTTCTCATCTTGGCTTTTGGGCAAATGTCACCCTTTTGATCTGATATAATTAATTGTTTTAAGGAGCACAATTCTCTCAGGTTTATTTTATGGGCCTGTCTATGGTTTGGCTGAAAGGTGGTCTCTGGGAATGGCTTCAGTTCCAGTTCAGAAGGCTGTCTTAGGGCCACTGTCTTGGGAGTTCATCTCATTTACTTTGGACATGTTATCAGGAGGGACCAGCCCCTGGAGAAGGACATCATGCTTGGTAAAGTAGAGGATCAGCAAAAAAGAGGAAGACCTTCAATGAGATAGATTGAACAGTGGCTGCAACAAGGAGCTCAAACATAGCCAACGATTGTGAGGATGGTACAGCAGCAGGCAGTGTTTTGTTCTGCTGTGCATGGGGTCGCTATGAGTCAGAACTGACTCGATGGCATTTAACAATAACTCCTACTTATCCTCTGGGTCTCCATATATCACCTCCTCCTGGGAGCCTTTTCCTGACCCCATCAAGTCTGAGTTAGGGGCCCTTGGTATGTGTTCCACAGCACCCCAACCATGTCCTACCCAAGCACTCATCACAAGATACTGTCATTTTCTATTTATGCCTGTATTCCATGCTAGCCCCTGAAGCTAGGATAGTAACCATAAGGATACTTACCAACATTTTTGAAAGAATAAATAAATGTAGATTTTCAAATTTGTACAGTTCAAAAAGGAGTCCCTGGGTAACAGACAGTTAAGTGTTCAATTGCTAGCTAAAAGGTTGGCAGTTTGAATCCATCCACAGCCTCTTTGGAAGTCAGGCTTGACAATCTGCTTCCAAAAGGTCACAGCCTTGAAAAACAGGCAGAGTAGTTCTACTCTGCACCCATGGAGTTGCCATTAGTCAGAATCAACTTGATGGCAACCAACAACAACAATAGTTCAAATAAAAAATGAATGATATCATCCTTAAAGAATTTAATAATAATGAAAAAGAAAAACCTTTAGCCCAGTTTTCAATTGTCTTGGTCAAGAAAAGAGACTTACCAAAACTTCCCAAGGTGATGGGTAGTAATTACTGAGAGTATCGAGGTACCTTTCACATAAACAAATATCAATTTTGGTCAGTTTAGGTCTACATGCAGAAAGTTACTTACTAAATTCTTATTCAAACTAGAATTTGTCTAGTTTGTATAATAAATTAAATGTGGTTCAAATATTACCTAATGCCCAGTGATTCAGGAAGAGATAAAAAGATTTAGTCTTCCCATCCCTAATTCTTTAAGCAAAAAGTACTCAGTAAGAGGAGTTCCTGGGTGGTACAAATGGCTAACGTGCTCGGCTACTAACTGAAAGGTTAGAGGTTGGAGTTTACCCAGAAATGCCATGCAAGAAAGGCCTGGTGATCTACTTCTGAAAAACCAGCCATTGGAAACCCTATGGAGCACAGTTCTACTCTGACACACATAGGGTTGCATGAGTCAGAATCAACCCGACAGTTAATAGTTTTTACTCAGTAATAATATCTTAACATTTCATAGTTGGAAAGGAGTTTGGAGCTCATCCAAGCCAACAGCCTCATTTCACAGTTGAGAAAACTGGGGCCTAGAGAGGAAAAGAAACTTATTCAAGGTTCTACCTGGCTAGTTAGTGGCAAAGTGGTGTTAGGAACCTGGTTCCTTGACCTCCAGGGGAATGTGCTGGGCTGTAAGTCAGGTTTTCTTTTTTTTATTGGTGAAAATATACACAGTCATACACCATTTCAACAATTTCTACATGTACAACTCAGTGACATTGATTATATTCTTTAAGTTGTGCTAACATTCTCACCATCCTTCTCCAAACTGTTCCACGACCACTGACTTAAACTCACTGCCCCCTAAGCTTCTCATCTAACCTTTCGAGTTGCTGTTGTCAATCTGATCTCACATAGATGATTCTTTAAAAGAGCACAATATTCAAGGCAGACAAATACTTATTTAGATAAATTCTTTTTGGTTCAAAGAAGACTTCAGGAGATAGTTTTGTTTTAAGGTTTACAATTTAAAGATTAACTCAGGGCAATTGTTTCAGGGGTTCATCCAATCTCAATGGCTCCAGAAGTTCTGGATTCCACTGAGAATTTGAAATTCTGTTCTGCCTCTTGCCCCTTTTGATCAGGATTCTTCTATAGAATCTTTGATCAAAACAATCAGTAATGGGAACCAGGTACCATCCAGATCTTCTGGTCTCATGGAAAAGGAGGCAGTTGTTCATGGAGGTAACCAGTCAGTTTTGATCATAAGTTTTCTGCATAGGAGCTCTGTTTTCAAGAGCACATTGCATATTAGTTGTGAAATGCTGATTCTTCTGACCACACTTACAACTAATAACAATTTCATTACTCCACAAAGCAGTATGGACACTAATTCAAGGAAGAGAAATGAAGAAGAACACTCCTCAGCTCAACTGTGTGTGCCCCATGGGTGGCAGCAGCAGAAGAAACAGGAAGGATCACAATGGTGAAAGACAAGAAAGAACAGAAATGAGAGGTGATGTTCCAGCATGCCCCCCAGCAGTGTGGTGAGAATAGATCACAGCACTTACCTTCTCTTTGTCACTAGCTTCTCTAGCCACTGTTGAGCCCTGAAACACAGAGAAATAATAAAAACATGTACACGTGAGGCATTAGGTTTTCCGTGTTTAAAATATGATAATGCTCCAGGGCAGAGAACAGACATGAATTAGCACACACTTGGCTTTGGAGCCTCACCCGAGTGAACCCGGCCCCGCCCCGACCCCCCGCTCTAAGTCTGGTTTGTGCTCCTCCTCCTCTCCGTATTGTCCCCGGTCCACTGTCCCCAACACTTTCCCTATCACATTCACTGGTGCTATTATTTCTCTGGTTCTTGTCCAGCTGCTGGGAATCAGAAAACCTGACAATCACTCAAACAATAACTTACTAACCTTAGACCCTGCTATGAACTGAGTTGTGTCCCCCAAAAACATGTGTTTGAATTCCTGGCCCTTATACCTGTGGATGTGATCCTGTTTGGAAATGGGGTTTTCTTCTGTTATGTTAATGAGGTCAGACCAGTGCAGGGTGGATCCTAAACTAATCACTTCTGAGTTATAAAAAGACCAGGATAAATATGGAGACACATACGGGGAGACAGACGACATATAAGGACAGATCTGCAAGCAAAGAAATGCCAACGATGCCGGCAGATGCCAGAAACTTAAGTGAGAGGCTTACAAAAGGAATTGACATAGCTGAGACCCTGACTGGAACTTTAAGCTTCCAGAACTGTGAGAAAACAAATCTCTGTTCTTTAAAGCCACCCACTTGTGTTATTTCTGTTGTGGCAGCACTAGGTAACTCAGTCAGACCCACATCACACTCTCCATCTTGGATCACTTGCTAGAAATGGTTGGTTTTATTATTTTCAAAGGTGTAGGGGGCCATCAGCTGGCTGTAGTAAACATTAAATATTTATTTTCTCACATTATGTCTTTCAGATGTGGGCATGTGCTCACCTCTGATGGTCTTTTCTGTAGGATTTATCACCTTCTCCCTGCTTCACAGTTACTGACAGACATTTTCATCTCACTTACTGTAAGTAAGCCCCGCGGGCACTTTCCGTCCTCCTCCACTTTGGAGATTCCTTCAAAGACACATATTTTCTTGCACCTATTTTGTGCTAGGCCTGTGCTAGGCAGGGGTATAAAGCGGAATAAAACATAGTTTTTGATATCTCCAGGAGTTTATACTCTCCTGCAGTGGTTTTCAAAACTATGTCTCAGAGCTCTGGGGTTGTCCAAGAACACCTGCGTCTACCTTGGAAGCAGAGTGGGAGGCTTTCCATTCCCACCCTAACTTTCATTTCAAGCAGAGAAACTTTCCTTTTGTTTGTTTGCAGAAGATTTTAATTCAAAAGGAAAGTTGGAAAACAAATGGCCCAGTGAATTTTTCAATATGTGAACACAACAATGAATATTTATTCTTTGTGCTCCTCACAGTGATGATCAGAGGATGAATAACTGCTGAATAGATGGTGGGAGAAGGATCACAGACCAGCTTACTGACCTCCCTTCCCCTCCAGCACTGGATTCCGAACCTCCTACGAGGCCAGGGACAATATTTGTTTACATGACCAGGGCTGAGATAGATATTTACTGCCCTGGAATATCTGAATTAGCCAATCATTAAAGGAAGTTATATATAACTGGAGGAAAGCTAAAGTTGCTTCTAAGTTGGCCATTCTTAGAGAAATTACATTTTTCACACAATTGCCATCCCTCATTCAAACAGTTTAGGCTATTTAACAACCATTGGCATTGATGAGTATGTATGTTGCTTATAATTCACCAATGGGGAAACTCAGACTGAAGAGACCCCTATGACTGGGGAAGGGAGCCAAGCCCCAGCCTTGAGTCTCCCGGGTTACTTCTCAGTCCCCCTGGGCTCAGGTTCCAGGGCCGATGGGATTTCAGAGCCCTGTTGCCACCCCCAAGGAAATGCTCAAAGTTTCCTGGGAATGAGTGGAGAGGGAGGAGGGAACACAAAACTGAACCACCAAATGAAGATGGATGATGTGAATAGTTCATGAAGAAAGGCATGGGGGAACCATTCCACGACCACAGCACACAGCCCCTCTGTACACAGCTGAGCCCAGCAGTTATCATTTGCAATGATCTATTTTCCTTCCTTGAGGGATTCCTAAATATGGGCCACAAAAATCTTTCTTTACACACTGATTTTTAATAAAATATATCCCATCCTCCTCGCCCCACCCCCCAAATTAGGGACATTTGTAATATGTGAGCACTCCCTATGCTACTGGGCAGAGTAAGAAACTATTAATTCTACTTCATATCTTGGTTTGTGTTTGTGTGTGTGTGTTTTTCCACTCCTATGATATAATCTACCCTGCTTTTGACTCTCAGTGAGACTTCATCTCTATGTAAATGCAAATCATTAGCATAGAAAAAACTCATCCAAATTTAAATTAATTTAAAAAAAAAGTAGAAAACTAAGGTTAGTAAGCTAAGACCAAGAATTTGAGCCACAGAAAGATGTCAAATGTACAAGTTCCATCACAACTGAAAATACTGGCCAGAACAGAAAGGTCACAGCAATAAAATAAATCTCTGTTGTACAAGCTAAAAAGGTAGATAACAAAAAGATAAACAACCCAATTAAAAAATGGGCAAGGGACATGAACAGACACTTCACCAAAGAGGACATTCAAGTGGTCAACAAACACATGAAAAGATGCTCGCAATCACTAGCCATTAGAGAGATGTAAATCAAAACTACAATGAGATACCATCTCACCCCTGCTAAAATGGCACTGATCAAAAAACCAGAAAACAACAAATGCTGGCAAGGATGTGGGGAGATTGCTACCCTTATCTACTGCTAGTGGGATTGTAAAATGTTACAACCACTATGGGAAATGGTAATGGCACTTCCTCAAAATACCAGAAATAGAATTATGATCTAGCAATTCCACTTCTAGGTATATACTCTAGAGATCTAAATAGGGAGATGAAATTATGTGGGCTAAGGCAAATTAAAACTGTAATATTCAATATACAAGTATAATTTATATCAAGCTATGTTTACTGGATGCCTATTGCACAAGGCCTTATCTAATTCATTACTGGGGGATAAAAAAGTAAGTAGGACACAATGTTTACTCTTATAGCACTTCATGCACTAGTAGAAGGGATATGATAATCAAAATTCACTGAATATTTCCCATACACTATGCATTATGCTGAATACGATACATGCACATCTCATTTAATCTTACAACGACCCTGCAAAGGTAGGTAAAATTACCCCTGCTTTATAGATGAAGAATCTGAGGGTCAAAAAGGTTAAGGAACTTGCAGGATATGCAGTTTTAGAGATCACTCTGGCCTCTTACATGGAAGAACCAGACCAGCACAAGCAGTGCTGTTATACTCAATGGAGCACACTATGCAGCATCTCCAAAGGCTTCATGAAAGAGATGGTGTTGGAAAAAGAGTCCCGCAGGGTAGGGTGGCTGGAATTTCTACCAGAGGCAATTCCTGGGGAGCAAAATGGTCTGAGCTAAGGCTTGGAGGCAGTACAGAGCAAGGCCATATTGGAGAAGTTTATCCAGTTTGTCTAGACTCCAGAGAGTAGAGATAGACCACTTCCCCTCACTTAGATAGGCGTTTCTCAAAGTGTGGTCCTCAGACTCAAGTCAAAACTATTTTTATGGTAATACTAAGACATTATTTGTCTTTTTCACTCTCTTGGCATTTGCAGTGATACTGTAATAACAATGATGGGCAAAACCATTAGCACAAATCAAGAGAATAGCCAAACAGTATTAGCAACACTTACATATATTACATATAATATATATATATATTATATTAATATATATATATATAAAATATATATTAGTATCACTTAAGAATGTCCTTGCTGAAGCATTAAGAACAATTCATTTCATTCAATCTCAACCCTGGGATGCACATCTTTTCAATACTATGTGTGGGAAGTATGCATGAGGCACTTCTGTATACAAAGGAACAATGGTTTCTCAAAGACAATTATTTTTGTGAAGGTTTGAGCTATGAGCTGAATGAACCACTTTTTTTTTTTTTCATGGAACAATATTCTTACTTAAAAAAACTCCTGACCAACGATGGTTATTCAGATTTGGGTATTTGGCAGATACTTGCTCAAAAATGAACAAAGTGACTGCCATCTCAAGGAAAACAAGTAACAATGTTTCATGTTAATTATAAAATTTGGCATTTGCAGTGATACTGCAATAACCATGGTGAAAATTAGAATTTTTTAAAACTTGAATCTGTCACTCTGAACTTGACTTAAATATTTTTCTGATGAGATTGGTAGTGATATGAATGTGATTTTCTGATATTGTATAATGAAAGGCATCAGTATTTGGAAGAGTCTCATAAATCAGTGATCAATACTTTCTAAATGACCAATGCATGATGTTACAAAATCATGCATTCAAAGTGCAAGGCAGACCAACAGATTTTAATGTAAGAGATCACAAAAAGTTTACTGATGTGATTTCAGATTCCACATTGCAGCTAATCTTTGAGAAATTACATTTGCTGTGTTTTGGTGTAATATCAAATAAGTATATCCACAATTATCTGAAAAGGTTATTAAAATACTCCATCTACCTTTCCAACTATGTACAGTATTTGTCTAAGGCCAGATTTTTTTTCATACACTTCAATCAAATAACGTATCACAACAGATTAATGGTAGTACATGAAAAGGCATTCCAATTGTCTGCTACTAAGTTAGACATTAAAGACATTTGCAGAAATGTAAAACAATGCTACTAACACAATTTTTTGTTTTGCAAAACAGTTATTTTTCATCAAAATATGTTAGTTTTGTTAACATGTAATGGTTTTATTATTATTTTAAATAAACTAAAATAGGTATTTAAAATTTTCTCATTAATTTCTAATATTAAAAATATCGACAGCCCACATAAGCAAAAGCTTTTTGGGATCCTCCTTTAAGAGTGTGAAGGGGTCCTAAGACCAAAAAGTTTGAGAACCACTGATGTAGATGAAGAGTTAGCAAACTTTTTCTGAAAAGTGTCAGATGGTAA